AAAGATTTAACTTACCATTACCATGGTATTCCTCAGACCTGCTTAGTGATTCTCAGCCTACTGGACTTTTGGATGTTGGATGTTTGTGGGACATATCCTCCATTATTAGGGAATATATCATTATAACAAAGCATTGGATGTCGGTATGATGTATTAATTATTGCATAACACTACAGGCCCTGAAGTAAAGTAGTAACTGTCTGTAGTTAGCTACTTTCTTTGTACCTCAGTTTCCTTACCTGTAAATTGGGGATGATAATAATATTCAGTTTATAGGATTCCTGTGAGGATTGAGTTAATATACATAAACTTGTTACAGATTGCCGGGCATATGTAAGTACCCAATAAATTTTAGTTTCTTCAATGATAGTAATAATAACTTTAAAGTACAGATTGATTACTTTGTAAATTTACATACTTGGAATTATGAAAATAATTGTATGGTGAAAGCAGACAAGGAGAAATATTTTTAATGTGTTTTTTCTCCCTACATGGAGGACATTTTTATATACTTATGATAATGAATTACATTTTACTATTTTATTTTCTTTCACAGAATGATCCCAACCTAAAACTTATATACACAGAATGTCTGAGGGTTTGTGGCAACTGGTTGGCAGAAACTTGCCTAGAAAATCCTGCAGTCATCATGCAGACCTACCTAGAAAAGGTAAGCTTTTGGGGCAACTCTTTAAGACTGTTGTTGATCATGAATACATTTGATCTTTTATCAAGAACAATTGTCTTTCAAAAGGAAAAGTATGGATTTTAAGTATTACATGAAAAACATGATGTGATTATCTTTAAATTTTAAAGAGGTTTTTGTTTTTGCACAGTTCTTTACAAATTCAGTTGTTGTAGTTATTTCTACACTATCAGAAGTTGTTCTGAATCTCGAGAATATATTTTTTTTTTTTTTTTTCTCTATTTTATGTGTTCAATATTATATATTTACATATATATGTATATATACATAAAAACTATGTATTTAATGTGGGATTACCTTGATCTGAGTGATTATTTAAATGCTTATAGTATTTGTAAATATGTTTAAATGGATTGTATATTCTTGAAGGCAGTAGAAGTTGCTGGAAGTTATGATGGAGAAAGTAATGAAGAGCTCAGAAATGGAAAAATGAAGGCATTTCTCTCATTAGCACGATTCTCTGATACTCAATACCAAAGAATTGAAAACTACATGAAATCATCAGAATTTGAAAACAAGCAAGCTCTCTTGAAAAGGGCCAAAGAAGAAGTGGGCCTCTTAAGGGAACATAAAATTCAGACCAACAGGTAAATATGTGCCTACAAGTGATGATTTTGTGTTTACCAGCCAAGTAAACTGAACTTGTTTGTCTAAAAAAAAATTGGAATTTTTTTTTTGTTGTTTTTGTTTTTGGAGAACTAAAGTTTAGTTTGCTTACTTATAGACTATCATGGCCCTACAGTGGTTAATCACAAATTAGTATGCAGTACACTGTTACATATTCTTTTATTAAGACTTTCTATCTTAGTTCTAAGGTTCTTATACAACATATAAATGTTAACTTTTTGGATTTTTTTGTTATAGTTAGAAAAAGAGATTTATGTTGAAATTTTAAAACTTACTTGTTTTAATGTAATTAAATATCTTTATTTAAACCTGCCTTGAGTCTGTGTATTTTAGTATAAATAGAGGATCAAGCTAACTGAATAGCTTGAGTCCACTTTTTCCTTGGTTGCCTAGAAAGCTTATGAATTGTACCATTATGAAGAAGTAATTTTTTTCCCTTTATCTTTAGAAATATGCTTTTTTCCTGGAATGAATATCTATTTACCTATCTATCTATCTATCTATCTATCTATCTATATATATATATAGAGAGAGAGAGAGAATACATATATATATAGAGAGAGAGAGAGATAGATCACATATATTTTTTTTTAGTTCTGTGAAATTTTATGGCTTTGTGTTTTACTTTAATTGTCCAATGCAAGATACACAGTAAAGGTTCAGAGAGAGCTGGAGCTGGATGAATGTGCGCTC